CTGATCTCATCAGTTCTCATAGATTTAATTACCATTTCTATGGTGATCATTCTCACAACTACCTATTCTGCTCCCAATTTTTCTGCTGACCTCCAACTCAAATTGGTTGTCTAGTAGATATCTGAAATTCAACATGTCCAAAACTGAACTCATCATTCCCCTTAAATCCTCCCCAACTCCTATCTTCCCTATTACTGTCAAGGGTAACATCATCCTTCCAATCTTTCAGGCTCATAACCCAGGAGTCATTCTTGCCTCCTCAGTAGCTCTCACCCTCCCATATCCAAGCTGTTGCAATGGCCTTTTGATTTCACCCTTGCAACATCTCTCCAATATGGCCCCTCCTCTCCTCAGACACTGCCACTACTATAGTACAGGCCCTCATCACCTCTCCCCTGGACTATTGCAATAGCCTTCTGGTGGGACTGCCTGCCTCAAGTCCTTCCCTACTTCAATCCATCCTCTATTTAGCCACTAAAGTGATTTTCCTAAAACAAAGGTCAGATCATGTCACCTCTCCCAATCAAACTCCAGTGGCTCCCTGTCGCCTCCAGATGCAAATAGAAATGCTCTATTTGGCATCCAAAGCCTTTTATTTATTTATTTATTTGCTTGTTCATTCATTCATTTATTGATTTGCTTATTTATTTGTTTGTTTATTTTTTGGTGAGGCATTGGGGTGAAGTGACTTGCCCAAGGTCACACAGCTAGTAAGTATCAAGTGTCTGAGGTCACATTTGAACTCAAGTCTTTCTGAATCCAGGGCCAGTGCTCTATGTACTGAGCCATCCAGCAGCCCCTCAAAGACTTTTATAATCCAGCCACTTCCTACCTTTCTAGGCTTCTTATACCTTATTCCCCAGTATATACTCTTCAATCCAGTGACATTGGCCTCCTGGCTATTCCACGAAGAAGACAATCAGCTCCTGGCTCTGGGCACTTTCTCTCGATGGACTACATGCCCATGTCCTCCCTCCTTTACTCCAACCAATAAGATATCTCTTGGTTCTGGGCATTTTCTCTGGCTCTCCCCCATGCATGGAGTGTTCTTCCTCCACTCCAGCTACTGATCCCTTTGGCTTCCTTTAAAGTCCCAACTAAAATCCTGTCTTTTATTGGAAGCCTTCCCCAACCACTCTTAATTCCACTGCCTTCCCTCTATTATTTCCATTTTTTTTTTTGGTATATATTTGTTGGCATGTTGTCTCACCCATTAGATTGTAAGCTCCTTGTGATTAAGGACTTTCTTTTGCCTTTTTTTGTGTCTCCAGCGCTTAGCACAGTATCTGGTGTTCGATAAACATTCTTTGATTGATCGGACTGGTTCATATTTTAACTATTGTGTCAAACTATACTCAACATTATTGTGGTAGGTTAAATTACCAAGCAATATCAGCAAACCAAGTAAAATCAAACTAACTCAAACGCTAGCATTAGTCTACAGAGCTTTCTTAAGCTTTTACTGTGTGGCATGGTTGCAGGGGATGCAAGGAGTACACATTTCTTTGATTCAGTAGGCTTTTTTCAAATGAGCAAATTTGTCTTTAGCAAATAGGGAACTGCTGGAGTGAGGGGTGGAAGAAAATAACATCTCTATAACATTGGAAGCCATTACTGGAAGATGGGGAGGGAGACTCAGAAATTGAGGGGAATAGGAAGGACTTTATGGTCACAGGTAGTACTACATGAAATATCATATTAATACATAGGAATCTGATCTTTAAGTAGTTTATAGCCTGTTAGCTAAACAGACTATCAGCTTCTTTAGCTGATGAGGTATAAGAAAACAATTTCTTAATCTGCCTTTTTTTTTAAATAGCAAGGACATGAACATTAATTAGAGCCTATGATACTTGGAGGGTAACAGCCTCAATAACCTCATTTTTTTAAATCTAAGGATTACACAGTAATTGAACATTTATCAAATTGCTAAATTTTGAGTTATTGTATGTAAATACACACATATGCACCCATGTATATATATGTATATATATACACATATATATATATGTATATGCACAAATAATTTGTAGCCTTATTAACACAGAGAAAGGTACCTTTGTACTCGTTTCTAAGCAAGCCAGAATCTGTCAGTTATATTAAACAAGTCATTAAGTTGTCAACAAAGGACTCAAGCACAGACACTGTCTACTTATTTGCTGCTCAGCTGGTATTAGTTGGCTATGGATGAATTATTTAAATTCTATTCAACTTAAATTAGAAACAGGAAGAATTGACATAGGCCGTTCTCTTGGTTCTAACTAGCCACACTAAATCAATTTAAAACACTTCTGTAAGAATCGTAAGACACTGGTTAATGTATTTGCCCATTTCAAACCATGCCCCCAAGTCACTAAATTACGCATATCCTTTGATCTAGCAATACTATTACTAGGTCTATAGCTCAAAGAGATCAAAGAAACAGGAAAAGGTCCGTTATGTATGTATTTATAGCAGCTTTTTGTAGTGGCAAAGAACTGGAAACAAAAGGGTTGCCTATCAATTGGGAAATGACTAAACAATTTCTGGTATATGAATGTAATGGGATACTGTTTTGCCATAAGGACAGCTTTAAAGAAACCTGGGTAGACTTGTAGGTACTGATACAGAATGAAATGAACAGAACCAGGGAAACAATTTGTACTATAACAATACTGCAAAAGTAAATAACTTTGAAATCAGTTAATAAACATTTATTAACCCCTTGCTATGTGCCAGGCACTGTGCTAAAAGCTGGAGACACAAATACAAATGAAAAGAAAGTTAATCCCTACCCTCAAGGAGCTTCCAATCTAATGGGATAAGACAACATACAAAAACAGAAAATTAGGGAATGGGGGGAGGGGGTGCAGTGCACAGGGGCCTGGAGAAGTCCTGGTGGGACATGAGCTGACTGTCCTAGGATTCCTCCTTAAATGGAGGTTTTGGAGCACATGGCTCCACCCTCTAATCAGAAGGTAATGATGAAAAGTGTACCAAGGCTGATTGCCTTCAAAGACTTAATAACTCTGAGCAACCCAAGAACCAAACATGTTTCCAGAGGACTGATGATGAAATATGCTGCCCACACCCTAACAGAGGTGAAGGTTTGGTATAAAATGAGACATTTCTTAGACAAAGTAAATGTGTTATGAAGGTTTTGATTTGCTTTTTTTTCTCTATCAGGTGTCAGGGGGAAGCAGAGTGGAAGAAAAACAGATTTTATAATCAATTGAAAAAATATATAGAGAAAACTCTTTCCAGGTATCTTGTAGATTTAATCAAAAGGGCTTCAAACTAAAAGGGATGGGACTGGGAAAGGAAGACTTCCTATGTATATCCTTCCAAGTAAGGTACTATAGAGTAGCTACAAAGAGAGAAACCCAAATTTCAATAGTAAAACCACTAGTCACAACTGATAAAGAAGACCTAGAGGTGCTAACACAAGGAAGCAAAGTTTACTTCTTAGAGCTCACTGAAACTGGTGGGATGACTGGACCATAGCTCACTTGTGCTCTCTCTCTCTCTCTCTCTCTCTCTGTATGTATGTATACATGCATATATATGTAAATACTTAGCTTCATTTGTCTCCTTTGTTGGAATAAATTATTCCATTCTTTCCACTTGAATCCCAATCACCTAGCAAAGCAGCTATTTCAGTCATTAATTAGTGAATTAATCCTCTGGGAAAAAAAGAACTGAGAGATGTAACTGCTGAACCAGTGAGTAAATAAATATTAGGTGGTTATTACGTGCCAGGTACTATGTATGCTAAGTGCTAGAGATACAAAAAGAGGCTTCCTGCTCTCAGGAAGCTCACAGTTAAATGGGGGAGATAACAAGCAAACAAATATATACAGACAAGCTATATGCTGGATAAATAGAAAAATAACTAAAAGAGGAAAGGCATTAGAATTAAGTGGAGTTGGGGAAAGGCTTTTTAGTTGAGGCTTAAAGAAAGGCAGAGAAGCTGGCACGTTAAGATAGGGAGGGAGAGCATTCAAGGCATGGGAAACAGAGAAAATGCCCAGAGCTGAGCGATGGAGTGTCTTGTTCCTAGAATAGAAAGGAGGCCAATGTCACTGGATTGAAGAATACTTACGTGGCAGGGAATAAGGTCCAAGAAGAACAGAAAGATAGAAAGAAGGAGGCTGGGTTGTGAAGGGTAAAACTTGATTCAAGAAATCCATTTCACAAGGATAAGAGAAAGGCATAGTCAGAACATTTGATGAAAAAGACATTTTAGTGGACTGTAAGCTCAATGAGTCCGCAGTGTGACATAGCAGGCAAAAAAATGAATGGGAACTTGGGCTGCACTAAGGTGGTCATGGATTCCAGTGATAAGGAGATGGTAATTACAGTGTATTCTGCCTTCATCAGGAATATTATGCTCTGCTCTAAGCACCACAGTTTAAAAAGAACTCTGATTAATTGGAGTGTTCAGAGGAAGGCAATCAGGATGACAACAGGCCTTGAATCCATATCTTACAAAGATTTGCTAGGGGAATGTTTAGTCAAGAGAAGAGAAGAATTATAAGGGGAGGAAGGGGGAGCATTAAAATTATAGTCATGTAGTTAAAAGAGGATATTGTATAGGAGATCAAACAGGTTCTCTTCAGTCCAGAAGCCAAAAGTTGCAGCTGTAGGTAGAAGCTGCAAAGAGGCAAACCGAGATTCGACATCAGGAAAAAATCAACAACTGGGACTGTCCAAAAGCGGGATGGACAGCTTCAAGGAGATGGGGTGCCTCTCTTTGGAAGTCTTCAAGGAGAGGCTGGATAACTACTTGATGGGTATGTTACAATGGGGATTGGTTTCATGCATGGTTTGGACTAGATGACTGCTGAGGTCTCATACAACTCTAAAATTCGATCGTTCTGAGAATTATGACCACCATAGAAACACAATCTTTTTGCCACATTGTTGATTTTAGTCTTGATAGATGGTTTTCCCAAGACTTAAATAACATATAGGTATCTGAGTTTCAAATATACCCAAAATATATAACGGAATGAGACCACTTAGTTTGTAGAAGCAGATTTATTGGATGTTTCCTTTAGCATGTTTTGTGCATGTACTATTTCACTGAGTAACAGTGAATAATCTGCATGTAATAAATAGTTAGAACATAACTAGTCAGTGGTTCTTAAGTATCTTTTTTCACTCTGATAGGATGGGGCCGAATATCATGCTAACAGTGAATGCACTCTGGCCATCTGGCATTTTAAATCACCGCCCTGGGGTTTGACACTACCAAAATGGTATTTTGCTTAGTTCCCATGTTCTTTTTAAACTACCGCAGAAAACAGCAGGAGGTAGTAAAGGGTGGGGGTGGGAGGGGGACTACTTAATCCTGTTCTACCACATACTTTAGAACTCAGAGCATGCTAAGAAGCTAATAGCAGAGAATTATAGATGATGTAAAGATAATTCACATTTGTTATCAATCTCAGGTTTAAAAAGCAATTTCCTCACAATAACTCTGTGAGATATATAGTGCAAATATTAGCTCCATTTTACAGAAAAGGAAACTGAGGCTCAGAGAGATTGTAACTTGTTCAAGGTCCCCGAGCTATTAGATGTCACAGCCTAAACTCAAAGTTGGGTCTCTTTGGAGTCCAATAGCAGTGTTTTTCTACTACATTGTACCCTATTAAACATTCTGTAAAGTTCACCAGTACCAAATTGTATAAATAGTCACAAATCCTTATCTCTTCAGTGTCTGGTCACAGGCATTCTCTCTGGTCATGGTGATGAAATTAGTAAAAATTTGAGAGTATTATTATAATGACATCCCTTTTGGAAAGACTTCCACAAGGGATATAGATTTCACGGATCCAATGATCCAGTGGAAATAGTTTGAGAGTCACATCTGGTTAAGTGTCAGCCAAAGGAGTTTCCAAACTGAAGTGGTATTTTTTAACATGTTTCCGAAGTAGCTGCTTATCAGGCGAGGAGTAGCAGCAAAAACTACAGCCAAATGTCTCGCCTGTGTGATGTCGTCGTACATGAAGGTCCAGGCTCTTCTTCTGAATGCTGCAATAAAAAGAAAATGGGTAAGTCTTTACTGTGAAATTTTCTTAAAATGGAAGCACAACTATTTCTGTTTTCTGGAACTAGTGGCTGTTTAAAATCTTTAGAAAAAATAAACTTTATAATCTGAACCAGAATGTTATAGGTATACTTTGACTGAGAAGTCTGAGAAACGCCAATTACTGTCTCAGTCACACAAACTAAAATAGCATATTATAATTTAGCTTGATTATGCAGGGCAGAACTTTATCTAACTCTATGTCCCATGGAGGACACAGAAATTCAGCAATTTGGTAAATATTCAATTACTGTGTAATTTCTGGGTTCAAAGAAATAAGACCACTACCCTCCAACTAATGCACATATCCCTGCTAATAAACAAACTCTGCCCCAATGGCAAATTAGTAAATTTTCATTTTTTTATACCTTTCAAACAAATATATTAATAGTTTGGCTAAAACAGGCTAATTACGTGAAGATCAAATACCATATTAAATTTTGGATTTTGTAAATACATCCAAACTTCATAAGTCTTGCACTTCCCATCAAGGAACCAAGGTCATTTAGCACATCCATATGCTAAATACTTTATCCTGGAAAGGATATATAATATTTAGTTCTAAACTCAGGTATACTTAGAAGGTTAATTTGTGATTTTGTTGGTCTTCTCTGCTTGCCAGGTTGGCCCACATCTAATCTTCACTCAACACAGTTGAAAGACTCATGAAATCAGTGTTCTCTGATTCTAACTTTTAAAAGCCTGGCATTAAATGGTCACTGAATTTTTTTGAAAATGAGACTTCAACATTGGTATAATCATGATCAAGGAGTCTGTATTTTTTGTACAAGCACAAAGTGTTGCATTTACCACATATTAGACAAGATTTCTGGTTGCTAGGGGAAAAAAAAGGTATACTGCTAATAATTTAACAAATTTAAATGTTGACTTCCATTAACAATTAAATTTTTAAAAATTTCAGACCACTTCTGATTGCTTTAGAGGTACCCTGAGGAACATTATACATTATCAAACAAAATGCCATGGGCCACATAGGCAGAGCAAAAATAATACCTATGTGACAACTATTAGCAAACCACAACCATTCTGGGTGTTTCAACATATGTAAAAATCAGGAACTCCACCTGATGATATCAAGGGCCACAGTCCTCTAAAATTCAATGAATGACAATTCATTAAACTACCACTCACAAAACTAACAATATTTAATGTTCTTTGCCCCCTGAACAATGGTCACCTGCTTTTTGAGACGAGAGACTGTCTTGCCTCTACCTTAACTTTTAGACATTTATTCATCACGAAATAAAGTAGGTTGTGCAAGGTGATTATTAACATGTTAGAATTCAATCAAAATATCACCCTCTTCTTTTCATGTTTATTTAGTTCTCACAACTTTGAACTATTTATATGTGGCAAATTCAGCATTTGTTTTGTAATGTATCTAGTGGGTTAACTGTAATTACTTCTAATATAAATGATTAAAATTTATGGAATTATAAAAAATTATATTTATAGTTTTCCTAATACTGAAACAACTCTGCATTCCTGGAGGAACTCCAACCTGGAGAGCCTGCATAATCTTTTAAACATATTGTTGAAACCTCTTTGCTATTATTTTGTGCCCTATATTCTTTTGGGATATTAGTCTATAGTTTTGTTTCTCTGCTTTACTTGTCCCTGGACTGGGTATGAGGACCACATTTGTTTCATTTGAAGGATTATAGTAGGATATCTTCTTTCACTATTTTTGCAAATAATTATATAATACTGAAATTATCCTTTGAATGATTTATAAATAATCTGGTCAAGTTATTTTATCTTTGGGAGTTCCTTTACGGATTATTTGATTTCTTTTTCTGGGATTGTTTGTCCTGCTAATTTAGACATTTTATATTTTTGTAAATAGTCATCTATTTTATTTATCAGGTTTTTTTTTGTCATATAACTGGGCAAAACAATTTTGGAATACCCAAGAGTTTATTAGGGTTTGGGGGAAAACCAATACACTGTTTTGCTTATCAATTCAAAGGGTTTTTATTTTCAATTTTATCTCTTTGAATTTTAGAATTTTTTCTGTGTGTTCAAATTAGGGTTTTAGGATATGTTGCTTTTCTACTTTTTTTTTAGTTGCACACTAAATTCATTGATCAACTGTTTACTCATTTGCTGATGAAAGTGCTTAAGAGATATGAATTTTTCCCTTAACAATATTAGGTTGCATCCAAATATTTTGTTCTGTTGTTGCACTGTTATTCTCCTTGAGGAAATTAGCTATTGTTTTTTATAATTTCTTCTTTGAGTCATCAATTCTTTTTTGTTTAAACAATTCTGTTTTTATAAAGGCATCACATACAACTCAGACATACTAATGTTCCTTTCTATTCTCATTTTGCAATCAACCATGACCTGCCACATCTAGCTTTTCTAAGATTCTATTCAGGACCTTATCTGTTTTTTGGATGCCTTTTTCTCCTTATAATTTAGTTTTTCTTTATTTAGATATGGAACAGCAAGGTAGTGCAGTGGATAGAGCACTGGCCTTGAAGTCAGGAGGACCTGAGTTCAAATCTGGCCTCAGACCAAATACTTGACACTAACTGTGTGACCTTGGGCAAGTCACTTAACCCCAATTGCCAAAAAAATTTTAAAAAAATAAAGTATTTAGATATTATGACATCTGTTGCATATATATTATCTATGGTGCTTTAAGTCTAATATAGTTTTCCCTGTTTATCTCTTTTAACCATTTCTATCTTTCCTGTTGCCTTGTCTAAGATCATGGAGGGTACACCAGCTTTTCTCAATTTCTTTCAAGTATGATAATTCTTCTCTGGTCAATCATTTTTTTTTCTTTAGGCAATGGGGTTAAGTGACTTGCCCAGGGTCACAAAGCTGGTAAGTGTCAAGTATCTGAGGACAGATTTGAACTCAGGTCCTCCTGACTCCAAGGCCAGTGCTCTATCCATTGCACCACCTAGCTGCCCCCATGGTCATTCATTTTTACTCTGTGTGACTGACTTCATATGTTTTTAAATTTTCTTGTAAATTCATTGTTGGATGTTGCCTTCTAGTTTGTTGCTAACTTCATCTGTTTTACGGGTGAGTACAATCATGGTTATAACTATTAATTATGTGTTTTACTCCATTATGTCCTCTTAGGGATAAAATTCCAAATACATTCAGATTCTTGTAATCGTGACAGATCTTAAATCTTGCACAAAAGGACAGAAATTCTGATTCGTAATTTATCTAATGACCTTTCTCTGCTAGACATTAGCTTCTCTCAGATATTACATTAAATAAAACTTTATTACATATATATGAATTTTCTGCCTAATTCAGAAGTTCACTCTCACACATAAACACCCCCCCACACACACACAGTGTGTGTGTATAGATCTATATCTATATCTATTTGTATCAAACTATCTGAACTATGAAACTGTTCAAACTATGAAATTGTTCTTAAGTTTTTGGAAAAATTAAAATTTAAAAGCAGAATTGGTAGAAACATCATTACAAGAAAGTCAAATACAGAAAACATAAAAATTATCTTTCCCCTACACATGGAACAAAAGTTCTTTAAAAATATCTTTTCCATAATCCCCCCATCTTACAGCAAGTAGCATAGTATAGCCAACTTCAAACACTTCATTTTATCATAGGAGAATCATAACCCTTTAGTTACTCATTTCAGTATTTCTAGAGGACACAGCCGTAGGGGAAGCAATGAGAACAGCTGTGAAAACAACAGAAAGGGTATTCTCTTAAAATAGAGAGAATTTTCTAATAACATAAACTGTCGTGCATAGCGCACTAGAAACTAATAATTTTGCTACTGGTATAAACATACATATATGACTGGCCCTCTTATCTCTTCTTGCCAGGAACACAGAGAGTCTTGACTCTTACTTTACTTAATTTTTTTTCCTTGAAAAATGAGAAATTTGTAAACTTACCTACTATATGAACAAAGCTGGCATTTGTAGGGCCTTTCCCGTGTGTGGGTTCTAAAATGTCTGCGCAGGGAACTGGCATCAATTGAGGCATAGGAGCAAATTTCACACTTAAAAGGTTTTTCACCTATTGAGATATGTAAAGCCACAAATGGAGAGGTCAATTACATACAAAATATCAGCTCTTCAACATGGAAATAATATATTGCATTCTAATATTTTAGAGGATCAGAACTGGAAGAAAGTTTAAGTGGTTTAGCTCTTTTTTTAAAATTAATTTATTTTGATTTATCAACAATCACTTCCATGTGCTTTTGAGCTTTAAATTTTTCTCCCCCTTCCTCCCCAAGATAGTGCACAATCCGATATAGGCTACACATATACATTCCTATTAAACATATTTTCACATTAGTGATGTTGTAAGTAAGAATTAGAACTAATAGAAGGAAAGTGGTTTAGCTCTTACTGAACATTGCTGCAAAATAATTCCAAAAGGAAGAAAAAGGAAGGAAGGAAGGAAGGAAGGAAGGAAGGAAGGAAGGAAGGAAGGAAGGAAGGAAGGAAGGAAGGAAGGAAGGAAGGAAGAAGGAAGGAGGAGGAGGAGGAGGAGGGAGGGAGGGAGAGGAGGAGGAGGAAGGAGGAAGGAAGGAAGGGAGGAAGGAAGGAAGGAAGGAAGGAAGGAAGGAAGGAAGGAAGGAAGATGGAAGAAGGAAGGGATGGAGGGAGGGATTCCTAAATAGCCACAATATCTTTTGGGGCAAATGCCATCAATACTATTAGAAACTCAGATGTCTTGAATAATAAATCAGTTCCGTGGACTTTTCCTATTTGCTTTTCAAGGAAATAAAACAATTTAGTATAGTTGAATCATTTGGAAATTAATAGTTTAATCACTTGGGAATTAAGCTGATTATACTTCTGATCACCATACATCTAAAGATAAAAACATCACGAATATGCTCAAAATGACTATTAGTTAAAATCATTCTGTGATATTCAGGATTTTGCCTTGAATTTTATTTTTACACATATCCAAATACGGGCTACACTTAGCTTCTGAAAAGCAGGTTAGATTTGGACAAAATGAGTTTAACGTTATGGTAAGCTAACAAAATAGAAATATTTTATAAGAAAGCTGAAAACCCTCAAACTGGAAGCTGGAGTAAAAGACTGCTAAAGATGAAAATGTGAATATCACTGATAAAGAGGTGAGAGCTGAAGCAAAAGATAAGGTATGGACTGATCCCTGGGTCTAAGACACTTACAATTAGAGATAGGGATAGGAAAAGAGGTTGAAGAAAAATTAGTATGGCACTAAAGCCAAAGTAGAAAACAGTTTCAAGAAAAAGGTAGTTTTAAAATTCTGAATGACACCAAAAGATCCAGGAAAATGAGACTTAAAAAAGCCAATTTATTGTTCAAAGAGCAATTTCAATAGCACTAGGAATGCAAACCTCATTTTAGAGGATTAGATAGACATGGAGGCAGCAGCTATAGCCCACTCACCTCACTCAAGATATTTGATAATAAAAGATAGAGAAATAGAAATTAGAGAGCAGTAGGACCAAGAGGATTTTATTTTATTTTTTAAGGAAAGGTAGATCTACATGTGTTTAAAGACACAGGAGAAAGGCTCTAGGAGAAAGAGAAAGATTCAAGATAAGGAGATGAAAGATGAGAAGAAGTTATCTAGAAATAGGAAAGAATAAAATCTAGAGCAAAGATGAAGTCAAGGAGGAATGCTTTGAATCACTTTAAAACTTTAAACCTTTAAAACCATAAAATGAAATTTATTAAGGACTTACATGTACAAAAATATTCATAGCAGCTCTCTTTGTGATGGCAAAGAATTGGAAGTTGAGGGGATGCCCATCAACTGGGAATGGCTGAACAAGTTGTGGTATACGAATGTAGTGAAAAATTATGCTATAAGAAATGATGAACAGACTGACTTCAGAAAAACCTGGAAAGACTTATATGGTCTGATGCCGAGTGAAGTGAGCAGAACCAGGAGAACATTATACACAATAACATCAACATTGTGTGATGATCAACTATGATTGACTTAGCTCTTCTCAGCCATACAATGATCCAAGACAATTTCAGAAGACTCATGATGGAAAATGCCATCTACATCCAGAGAAAGAACTGATAAAGTCTGAACGCAGATCAAGGCATACTATCCTCATTTTTTTCATGTTTTTTTCCCCTTTTGTTCTGTTTCTTCTTTCACAATGTGACTAACGTAGAAATGTTTTACATTATTGCACATGTATAACCTATATCAGATTGCTTGCTACCTTGGGGAGGGAGGAGAAAAAGAGGAATGAAGAAAAATTTGGAATTCAAAATCTTTCAAAAAATGAATGTTGAAAACTGCCTTGATGTCTAATTGGAAAAATTATTATTAATTTTAAAAAATTTTAAATGAAATGTACTTAATGAGTCCTCATGGCCAAAGAAGTAATTACCATGTGATCAACCCACACAGGTTCTTCTTAATTTAAAAAAAGGGTTCGGCATTTATTATGCAAACAAAGGCAACAACAAACATCATTCCATGGGATATTTTGTCATTGTATATTGCATTACTTAATAAGTATTTACAAAAATACCACCATGAAAATCACAGAAGTTTATGCATCATTATCTGATACTGAGGATGAAGAGGTATACAAATTCTATAAAGCACTCAAAATTCCTCAAATTAAATCAGCATATTGATATTATAATAATCGTAACTTCAATACAAAGGCAAGAATAGGTAAAAATGGTGAAAAGTAACTTTAAAAATAGGAATCTGAAATAAGTAATGAAAGAGTCACAAGTTACACAGAAATTTCACCCATATGTTATAAATACTTTCTTTGAGAAAAGAAAAGGAAGGTGCTAGATAAGGTAAGCACCTAATAACATTACAAAAAAAAGTGAACATGATTATACTTACAGGAAACTACTCATTGCAAATGTGGGTATCATTTTTTAATAAGCAGTCTGTATACAGTTTAGTCCACCAATTTGATCACTGTACAAAAAATGGAATATGAAAATAAGAAGGGACTTAAGATACTGAGGGAACTGAGGTGACTGGAGCAGCAAGGTGTGATGGGAATTGAGTGAACCACACTGACACAACTCTAGAGCTAGCTCAGTTCCCTTTCTATTCAATTACGGATCTACTCCAATTTCTGTCTTATGAGAAGATTTTATTCAACTGTGGGAATTGTGACAGGACTTTATTGCACTGTTTGAACCCAGCCCTATGTGACTGGGAAATTGGACCACCTCTACCTGCTGCTTAGAGATCCTTAACTAAGGATTCAGGTTAAGCTGATCAGAAACCCGGTCAGATCCAAAGACTGACACAAGGAATTTTCTCACAACTATACATCTCAAGCAAACCATATTTCATATCTGAAAACTACACCCATATCGATCAATTAGTTTTGACTGTTCACAGACACTTGGGGAAAGTGGGACAACTCTTTTTCTGATTTCAGGGAATTGTACCTGTTTGTTCTCCCCCTCCCAACTTGGAAAGTCTCAAATCTTTCCTCCAATTAGAAATCAGATTAACTTAATGTTGTATCTTGGTGTTTTCTTTTAATTAATCGGTCTCTGATTAATTGTTTTTAATGTATAATAATCTGTCTCCCTCTGTATTTGGGGTCCAATGCGAAAGCTGAGAAAGGCTACTAGTACCAATTTGTCATGCAATTGGCATGCACTGCTTGAGAAATCAATACACTTGGAAGCTCAAACCTTTGTTTCCTCAGTCATTTCATCTTTCACCTAGTACAACCTCAATTACAACAATGTCACATGGAAATCTAAATTGAAATAAATTGCCATGGCAAGGGTATCAAAAAGCCTAAACACCATTTCAAACAGCAACACTTGACTTACTTGCCTGAAAGAGAGATGTAGCAGCCAATGGCAACAACAATTTAGAAGAGAATTCTACTTATCTATAAAATCTTATGGAGATGAATAGCAAAAGAGTTTCAGTAGTATCATCTCATAAAGCAGAGAGGAGCAATGACAGATTAAAAAAAAATTTTTTTTAAGAAACCTGGCAAGTGATTCAACTAACCAGTCATTCTAAGGGCATTTAGGGATAAAGATGGGGCAGAGTCAAGATAGCAGAGTAGAGGCAACAAGTCAGTTGAACTCTCCCAACATTCACCTCCAAATAACTTTAAAATCATACCTCAAATTGAATTCTGAAGTGGCAGAGCAAACAAAAGATCAGGGTGAGATCACACCACCTTGAAAGCACTGGAAACCTGAAGACCTTCAGAACTAACTCTGAAAACTGCTGCAATGAAGAAGCCTCATAGAAAAATGCTGACTGGACCCAACCCAATAAGAATCCCTAGAAGAGTTGAAGAAAGAGATAATGGCAGAGAAAATTTCTGGCACAAATACCAGTACTAAGTCTGTATCCCAAAGAGATCAAGGAAAAAGGAAAAGGTCCTATTTGTACAAAAATATTTATAGCAGCTCTTTTTATGATGGCAAAAAATTGGAAACTGAGGGGATGCCATCAGTTGGGGAATGGCTCAACAAACTGTGGTATATGATTGTGATGGCATACTATTGTACTATAAAGAAATGATGAGCAGATGGTTTCAGAAAAACCTGGCAATAATTATATGATACAAAGTGAAGTGAGCAGAACTGGGGGGGATAATTGCATGCTTTGCAGTGGATGGAGGAGGTCTAGAGAGAGAATCTGGAACTCAAAAAAATGTTTTAAAAGAATGTTATAAATAATACTCTTTTTTTAAAAAGGATAAAGATGGAAAGAAGACAATAAACAGACAAAAGATGGAAAAGATCTATAACTAGATCTTTGGACTCTAACATCATTGTCCTGAATACGTTCATATAGAAAGTAAATGCTGAGCTAGAAAAAAACAAAGATGGGAAAAGTCACTGGATTAAATCATAAATAGATGAGATGTGACAGAATTGTGATGGCATCCAGCAATTGATTTACAAATCATAGAATATGTATCAGAAGGTGGGTGATGTCAGTCCCTAAGTTCTTCCCTCAGCCTATTCCCCCATCCTGTTCTCTTACCCCTAGGAAGCATGGGAACAACACCTACGGCCTCTGCATGG